GACAGCCCACGGAGCAGGGCGATCAGTGACCGGCGAATCGGACAATTCTAGCTTATTAAGTTGCTTTTCAAAATGCTCAGCCCAACGCTCCAAACGTTTTGACAAATTGTGGATAGGCTGTCCACTCTCATCACAAATTGTTTCACTAACACCAGGTCTCATGCTGCCCGTTTCCCGTATCAGACGGAATAACTTACGATGGTTGCCAAGGGCAGCGGACACTTCCATCTCTGACGCACGATGAGACCACCAAGATTCGCGGTCTCTCTTCAGGCTAGCACGGAGTTTTGCCCGGAGCTCTTTGCGAGCTTCATTGTGTTCGCTTCCAGCCGGGATATGCCGGCGAGCGTCGATAAGTTCCAGAGACCGAGAAGAGACCCAATGTCCATGTTGGTATTTGGACATACCACATGAGGATTTGCCCGTCTGGCGAACATGTGACCAGTGACCATCAATTGTCCCCAGTGAGCGAGTACTCAACTCGCATGTCAGCGTACATCGATACGCATTCAGAACAGCTGGCTTTGTCAGTTGGCTGGTGTCAATGCGCTCACAGCGTCGTCGTAGGCGTCCTCCAAAGCGCATCCGCATGTCAGCACATACAAGTGCATGATCAGTGTCCACACATGTGCTCCAAATCGAGCGACAATTCTGGATGCAGCCTCTCCAGGGGTAACTAATAGCAATGTGATCGATCTGCGTCCAAGGCTGGTGGGCGCCAAGTCACCCTCCGGCGGGTGCTGTGTCGGAAATTAGTGCTCGCAAGAAATAAGCGAGCATCTTCACACAAATGAAGTAACCGCTCACCGTTATTATTACGGGAGCCTACACCGTGCTGACCGCCCAGATGCATTTCTTCAGTGGACAACTTTCCAACTTGTGCGTTCATATCCCCCGCCAGAACAACAGCGTCCGTGCTTCTTCTGTGGCGAAGGAGCTGAGTCAGTTGGCGGTAGAAGTCGTTCTTTACCGAATCATCGCTACAGTTTGTGGGCGCGTAGGCAGCGATGATGAATAGACATCTATTAGTCCCGCGCGACTTCGAAGCTTTAAACGAGCCAGTCAATCGGACCGCACACATCCGCCTACTGATTGGAATCCAATCAACCAGAGCAGCTTCAGCCCGGGGACTCAGAGCAACGCCAACACCAGCTTGGCCGGTGCTCGAAGCTGCATCGTCACCGGATAGGCGCAATGAGAAAATACTGCTTGCGTCACCTGAAGGGGATCGCAGAGTGAGCACAGAGCTCTATTCTTGCAGGCGGGTCTCGGATAAGCAGCATAAATCGATCGAGAGGGTCTCCAATGTTCGGGCAAGTGCTGCCTGTTGACCGATCTGTAGTAGTGTGCGTACATTAAGGCATGCCAATCTGAAGGAAAATCGAGGGCTCCAAATGGAAGCCGATGAACTGGAATGGACCGCTTGCTTGGACATGGGCTTGTCGACAGGAGAGGAGTGACGCTCCGCGTTCACGTGTGAGTTGAAATTAGAAGGTAAATGCCTAGCAAAGCATGTTGGGGGAGGGCCAAGAATCGGGGGGTTGAAAACTGGGGGGATATAAGTAAAGTTGGAAGGGGACGGTAAGAGTGAAAAAGCGTAAGATGGGGAATAAGAAGACGGGAAGGCTTGAGCAGTAGCATCCAAACCCCTATCCACCCTGCTCGATGCAGCAGATAGGGCACCGTTGATTATCCTCTGCGGTGGCCAGAGCCTCAGCAATTTGTTTGAAGTGTGATTCATTGTATTGCGTGGGCAGGATACTGTCAGGTTGCCCAGGCCTAGACAGGAGAACGATTAGGGTTCTCAACCAAAGCCTTTGGTTCAAAAACCTGACCGCAAGGCAGCGGGTTTGGCGTTGGACTACAAGGAGTCGGTTTTAAGGAATAAAGTGCCACCCTCATTCCAACCCCTAACCTGGAGGACCAGGAGGCTGAGTTTGTCTGACCTCTAACCATTGACCAATCTGGTATGAGTGACTCTGAAGGTGCAAAAGCACCACCCAGCATAGCTCAATGGATCGCTGAGGCACACAAACCATCGCACCACGGTAAGGTCCAGCCTCATTGCGGAAGTAATTCAACGGCAGTCTGATGGTGCCTTGAAAGAGCACACCTAAAGGATGTGCATACTGGACTGGCATCTACAGGTGTGCCGCACGAAACGTCAGTTACGAAGTCGAGGAACTTGGCGAAGCGCAGATCAAAAGTACATGGTAATTGAGTGTCCACATACCTAGTGGGGTGGTTCACGAACTGATGCAACGGAACTTGAAGGGACAGCTCACAAAATTTTCCATCGTACGTTCCTAACACCGAATCGCACGAAAGGTCAGTTCCATATACCTCAAGGAGGTTGAAATTCCCTAGAACTAGACCCTTATTCGCAGATCGAGTGCGAATAAACTGCAGGCGCATGAACAACGCAATGTGGTATACAAAATAAGTTGCCGAGATTGCGAAAGGAATTATGTTGGTCAGACGGGAAGAAAACTGGTAACAAGGATACAAGAACATAAAAAAGCATCGTCGCTAGTTTCATTGCACGTAGATGAAGAAGGACATAGCTTCGAATGGAGCAAAGCAGTAGTCCTGGCACGGGGTGAAACAATAAAAGGGAATTCCTGGAAGCCTGGTTCTGAACGAAAAACTAAAACAAAATGCGCGTCGACATCGATTCAATATACGAACCACTTCGACAGAAAGAAATAAAGAAAATTTTGTCACGCGGTTTACGGCAGAACAACTCGGGCGCCGAGTTTAGTCTTGGGGAATGTAGGTAGAGGTCATGAGACGCAAATCGACACTGCCACTTTCAAAAGTCACCTGCAGGTCGATCACAGATGGACGATTCATTCAGTAAGATTGCACGCCGCATCTCACTGCACTGAGGATGCCACCTCGCATGGTGGTGAAACGTTTGCGACAAAACCGCCAAGCTCGGAGAACAAATAAACAATTGAATCATCAACCCGAGCAACAAGTATGCTGAAACATTTTAAATCAATTAATCTCTCTGAAGGTAGTCCCAGAAGGTACATACACCACTACAACTGTAAACTTGGCTGAAGAAGTGCACACAACGGCCGGTCAAACTTGATCGGTCTGATCGAACGACTGAAATGTGAAGGTCCTTAACACATCGAATCTATAGCTCCCATAGAGCACAACGCCTCTACCCTAAAGAACGACGCAGCGATCAGTTCTAAGCCTTGCGTAGTCAGGTGAACATACTTCACCGTCAGTGATTTCCGGAGACAATCATGTTTCAGTGAAAGCAAATATGTCGAGAAGAGCTTTGTCTACAAATAGACTCAAGTCGTTTCTTAGGCTACCCACATTGTTGAGCACTATCTGAAGGAATTCGCAATGACCAGCCCTGGGTCAGGCGCTATCAGAACGGGCACCGGCAAGGAAGAAATGGACCGTCGATTGAGCACATGAAAACCCACTAACTGGAGACCCTGTTCCCCGGCTACTTGCCTGCTTTTGAGGTCCTTAATAGCTCACCCGCTAGAGGAAGGTTTGGCTGAACACTAACATCAGTACCCTTCAGTTTAAAAGGAAAACACAACAGCGATTTGCGCTCCTCTGGGTATGAGCGAGGGTTTGATTCGCCAACTGAGGAAGTCCCCAGTCTAATCAGTTTCCTGACAATAACGCCAGGCAAAGCAGGCAGAAGAAACTTCGTTACGCATATCTTAAATCACTGAAAGCCATCAAACATGCGGTTAGCAGGAGGAACGGCAGTGGACTTCATCGCATTAGGGGATATAACGCTACTGTCCATGAAAGAATTACGACGACGAGGTGTGTTTACCAAAAGGATCCTTGATTCAATATATACGCCAGGTAGCTTCACCGCTTGTAGTGGGACTGCCCTAATCTTCAGAAACGTCGATGGAGCGACCACAGTCTTTTTTTGCTCCATTATCAACGCCTTGTGATTTGTCGGATCTTCGAGCCCGCCCTAAGGCTTACGGTCAGCCCTAGTATGCTTTATCTTCTATCTAACAGAACAAGGGGGCAGTGACTGTGTGTCGCTTTGAGCAGAGGCACAGTCAGAACCCGCTCAATCGGTCGCAGCCGAGATGGCCGGCACCTCCGTCTGGTAAGTACTGCGTATGGGTTTTCTCCTCTTCCCAAACGGTTTAACGAGTGACGGCTTCGGTAGGTTTTTTGCTGGTGCCAAGATAACTATAACCCCGGGTATTGCAGAGGGTTGATGGGATTCCCGAGCTCTATTTTGCTTCCATTTATTGGGCTCATGAACCCGCAATACAGCATCGCTCATGGTAGAGTCAGCTACGCTGAATGAAGCAACTTCCTTCATGTGATCCTAATTCACAAGGACGAGCGACACGATGGTTGGTATCCCAAGTTGACCTTCAGCACAATGACGCGTATCGCAGTTGCCCGGATCTGCATTTCTGGAAATCGAAAAAGCCTTTATGATCAAATTAAGATCTGCAAACATTGAGAATCAGTGCTCCACACTTCGTAGCCGGGCACCAAAAGCCACGTCTCTAGTACGAAAATCCGGGTAGTCTTGCCGGCGTCTACAGCAACTGACAGCTAAAAGCAGGCTGTCACTGGTGGCCAGCAATGCATACTGCCCTGTGGTCAAGTCCTACAAAGCTGGTGGTAGCAGCGGTGGCAGGAAGCGTACTGCATATCGCCGGAATCGTGTTATTGGCATAGTGCAGCTTGAACTGCAACAAACTGCGATATCCTCAGTCCAAGTTTCAAACGTCGAGAAGTGATAATCACTGGATTTGTGGGAAGCGAATAGAAAAGATCACGGAAATAGAAATTGGGGCACACGAAACCTACAATAAAAAGGAACCGTTAATGTTGGAGTTGGTAAAACCAAAACGCAGGGGAAGAACGACCATAAACCCATACTCCTTTAAGAGTGAGCATCGCTCAATCCGAAAACTACGTGAGACCATGAGAGGCATGGACAAAGAACACCAGAAGGAAGTACACACAAGTTAACTGACCCGTGTGGGGAGCTGCGTACATATGAAAGAACGAAGATTCAGATCATCTTCGAAACCAAATGTAGGTGGTATCCCAATTTTCAGTGCAGAGAACATGAACGTGATCCAGCCTGACACTTTCCAGTAAGCAGAAGATCTAAAATAAAAAAACAAACTCAAACAAATAAACCTCATCTGATAAGCTGTTCAGTGGAATCCTATCGGGCAGGAGCCTCACAAGCTTCTCGGGGAAATCACAGGTCAAAGTCAACGGAACTTACCAATATCGCATGCAAAGCGTGTGCGGAAATGAAGAAAAACGTGCAGTCCGCTTTGACGTAGATCTATCGGCAATGGAGAAATAGTAGAAAAGTATCTGATAGAAACAGGTATTCGTGAAATAAATCAATACAGATTGTGAAACAATAAATGGGATGTTTTCAAAACGTTAGCTAAGACCTATCTACCGGAAAAGGGATAATATGCCGTGAACCGACCTGAAAACTGTTATGATCGTCACATCGTCCTTGCAGTTCCAAGAAAAGCACCAATACATGACTCCCATTTCGTGTCAATGCCACAGTATTGATATAATTCAAGGAAATCGAGCGCACATAGAACCAGTTCGTTTGAAGTCGGACCAGAACGTTCAATAGATGCAGAGACGATGCAGTCTGGTACACACAATAACAATAAGTAACTTCAGTTCCAGATGCAACGGAGCTCATCGTGTAGCTTTTCTCTGCACTTCTTTGGCTTACTTTATTTCTGTCATCAGCTCCGATCAATCTCCATTTTCCGTCCTCATCATCATCATCGTCCTCATCATCATCATCACTATAATTCTACACGTTAGGAGTGCGAAACACCAATTAGAAATACTATTCGATGGGTAATCTACAGAGGTCCATTTTAATATAGTTAGTTCACTACAGTAGTTTGAACAGCGCGATGAAAAAACGAACACTGATAAATGCTAGCACTTCGTATTATCTCGTCGGTACCGATAAAACAAGGAAATCTTTATGTAGTTGTCATAGGGTACAATCAGGCCAATAACGGTCAAAGTTGTGATCAGTTGCGTTGATATCAAGACCACGGAAATCGCAGATTGACAACTAGTTGCTTTTGGACGCATAAAGCTAGCCTAATCCGGCTTATCGGGACGAGTTCGGCAAGTCGCAAAAGGCGTGAATTTGTATGATGCAACAAAATGCGAAACGCTGGTAAGGGAATAATCTGATGATGGGTTGCTAAAATGTGCCCGTCTATGGATGACACTGGCGGCATACGCGAGCACCTATCGTCGGAGGTTTAAGTAACTACGCAAAGAACACAGTTTGGTATGTGTTAATCTAGAATCTAAAGCCATGTCGGTTCTGCTGAGGTAACCGGCTCCACAGTTACACACAAATTAATAAACGCAATGTGATTTGGCGCCGATGGGTTCATCTCCCTTTACAGAAGGTAACAATTTCCAGGTTCTGTTGATAATTACCGCTTCCACAGTACCGGAAGTAGGCTGAATGGCCGAGACTAAACGTTTAGCTGTCCTTGTGGCAGCATTACGCGTGAATGGTGGCGCCAATATCAGTTGTTTAGGCAGTGAAACCTTACTGTGCTTTTCAATGAGTCACCTTGGGTAGACATTCTCCATGAGCGCGTTAGTGATGAGCTCAACTTCCGCAGCTAAACAATCGTATGAGCAGATGTGTTTAGCACGAATAAACAATGTTTTTACCAGCGCGCGCTTGTGTGTCGTCGGCGAGAGGCTGGTGGCGTGCAGGTATTGGTCGGACCATGTTAGTTTCCAGTATAAGGATAGCTTAATGAGCCCATTATCCATGCGGCTGATGAGAATATTAAGGTATGGCGGATGTCCATACGATTCAAATTCACGTCACCTTCAGGTTGGCATGAACACTATTGTTGGTCTACTGATCGTTCAATTTGCATCCTCGAGAAACCAAAAAACGAGGATGTCATTCACATAGCGTTTGTAATAAAGCGGATGAGAAATAGCTGCATTTAATTTTCAATCAAGTATCGGCATGAAAAAATCGACTTGTACCAGGCCTAACAGACTACCTATAGCCTCTTTATCGATGCGGTGACATGAAGTGTGCTGGAATCGGAAAGGGACATACTCTGTAAAATAACAACAACAGAGACTATGTCAGCAGGCCTGTCGGTATTGGCAAGCGGAAGTTCTCCTATTAGCTGACAAATGTAAGCAACTGTCTCGAGCAAAGGAACACTAGAAAATAACGACTGCACATTCACTGAACATATAACCTTGTCAGCTAGGTTGACTTGGTCCAAGTCTTCGACAGTTTCGAGTTATTGATTTCGTGCAGATTAAAGTGCTGCCGAAATGGTGGAGCGATCCGCACTAACCAGCGAGCAAATTTGTGCTTCGGAGAATTTATCATCGATAAACTGGGTTTTAGTGTCATGCAAGCATTGTGAGTCTTTGGCAACCCGTGCAGCTATGGAGCCGATGGGCTACTTGACATCAAGTTACTTTATGTAGGCTGGTCGATCACACGATGTAAGAGAGATCATTTCATGTTATTTATTGAACAGCGACTATTGCAATGATGGTTTGTGTGTCTCAGCGATTCACTCAGCTGTGCTACGTGGTGCATTTCGCATCTTTTAGGTCACTCATAACAGGTTGTTCAATCGTTGGAGACCAGCCCCCTGGGTGGGGGTTGGAATGACAGTGGCACTTTATTTCCTAAAACGGACTCCTTGTAGTCCTTGTAGTCCGATTCATGTCCCTCCTCCCACCTTGCTTTGATAGGAGTTTAGCCTCTAGTTTCGACTCAAATGCAAACGCGGAGCGTCACTTCTGCGCTGTCGACAAGCTCATGTGTAATCAAGCAGACAAGCACAGCTCATCGGCTCCCATCTGGAGCCCTCGATCATCACTCAGACTGGTATGCCTCAACGTACGCACATTGCTACGGATCAGTCAACAAACAGCATTTGTCCGAACATTAGAGACGTTCTCGATTGATATCTGTTGCTTATGTGAAACCTGGCTGCAAGATCGAGCTCTGTGCCCGCTTTGTTATCTTTTACAGGTGACAGTAGCGGTAGGTTCTCATTGTGTCTAACCAGAGACGATGCAGCTTTGAGCACCGGCCAAACGGATGTTGGTACTGTCCTGAGTACCCCGGCTGAAAATGCTCTAGATGACTGGATCCCAACGAGCAGTCGAATGTGCGCGGTTCCACTGGCTAGTTAGTTCAAAGCTCCGAACTCGCGCGGCACTAATAGGTGTCTATTCGTCATCCCTACCTACACGCCCACAAACTTCAGCGATGACTTCGTAAAAGACGACTTCTGTCGCCAACTGCACGAGCACTTTTACCACAGATGAAGCAGAGACACTGTAGTGCTGGCAGGGGCTCCGAACGCCCAAGTTAGATAACTGTCCACTGATCAGCAACATCTGGGCTGCCAACGCTGTTTCGGCCACCGTAAAGATAACGGTGAGCAGTTGCTCCATTTGAGTGAAGATATTCGCCTAACTAACTTCCAACACAGCACCCGCCGGAGGGTAACATGGCGCCCACCAGACATGGACGCAAATCTATCACATTGCGATCAGTTACTGTTGGAGTGGTTGCGTCCAAAACTGTCGCTCGATTTGGAGCACATGTGTGGACATTGACCATGCACTTGTATGTGCTGATTCGTGAGTGCGTCTTGGTGGACGCCCAAGACGACGCTGTGAGCACACTGACACCAGGCAACTAGCGAAGTCGGATGTTCTGAATGCGTATCGAAGTACGCTGACATGCGGGTTGAGTAAGTGCTCACTGGAGACAGTTGGTCACTGGTCACATGTTCACCAGGCCTTACTAGAAGCAGGAAGATCCTCATGTGGTAAGTCCAATAGATAAGATGGATCTTGAGTACGTACGTAGTATCACCAGTTTATCGATACTTGTCTGCGCATTCCGGCTAGAAGTGAAGACAATGAGACTCACAAAGACCTCAGGGCAGAACTCCGTGCTAGCCTGAAGAGAGACCGCAAATCCTGGTGGCCTCATGGTGGGTCAGAGATAAAGATAGACGCTGTCCTTGGTAACTATCGTCTGATATGGAAAACGGACAGTAGGAGACTTGGTGTTAGTGAAACGATATGCGACGAGGTGGACAGCCAATCCACTACTTATCAACACGTTTGGAGCGATAAGCTGAGCTGAGCAGTCTCACCAGTCGGAAATGATAGATATGTCGCGAATCAATGATCGGAATACTCGCTGGACTACCGTTTAAATCCGACCCCTCGTTTAGAAGTCAAACGTGAGGTCGGACTTTAAAAATTGAAAAAGGCCGCGAGATCAGATGACATTCACTCGGCACACTTCAAAGTTTGGGGACCTGCTTTTGGAGGATTTGTGCGAATTATTAGTGAAACTGTCCCAAGGACCGAGACGCTCCGTTCTTGTCCCGATCTACAAGGGAGGGTTCACGTGAAGAATGCGACAACAATTTAAACATCAGTCTCATCTTCATCGTCTCCAAATTGCTCGCCTGCCATCCTTCATAGACTGACTGACACCCATGAAAACCAGATTCGTTAGTAGCAAGCTGGGTTCCGTCGAGGTCAGGACTGCATCGATCACATCTTCACTTAAGGTCATTTGTTGGAGAACGCTCACATATATTGACGGCCCATTGTTGTCGCGGTTCTCGACATCAAAGGTGCCTTCGGTTCAGCGGATCGATGTGCCTTTTGGAAGTGTCTACTCAGAAAAGATGTGCTCGGGAAATATGTAAATATTATCCGAGCGCTTTACATAGCCCGGGTAGAGTGAGGGTTTACGGTGAGCTATCCCCACCCTTTTACAGCTTCTGCTGTTTAAGACAGGGATGCCCGCTGTCACCTATCATCTTATACGTCGCTATTGACGAAGGCATCGAAATCGCGTTCACTGGACACGAGTTAGGCATGGAGCTGCTCCCAGCTGAACGACTTCTTGACTTGAAGTGCGCTGATGATACTTCTCTTAGTTGTGACAGCTCACAAATGTGCCAAGCTGAACCTGACGGAGTAGCACTGGCTGTCAGCCACTTCGACCTTTTCTTTGCATCGTCGAAGTGCAGTGCTTTACCCTAAGACTGACAGGGCTCCTCTCCTGCGCTGGCCTTTGGTGGGGACTGGATAGAAGTCGTTCAGAAATTCAATTATCTAGGCAGTTGTATCAGCGCTATTAGAATCGAAGACGAGGCCACGAATCGTATAAAAAAAGCTTGAGGTGCTTTTGATAACCTTCACCACCAATGGCGCCGGCGCGACATCGCTCACTCTCTGAAGCGTAGAGTTTACAATGCAGCTGTAAATAGTGCCCCACTGTACGGTCGTGAAACCTAGTCCATTAGATCGGCAGACATAAAGAGGCTAGCGACGGTCGATCACCGGAGTTTTCGCAGTTTGGCACATATCTGTGGGAACACTATCTGAGCAATGAGCGCGTTCGACACATTTTTCCGGCACAGAAAGAGGAAATGAACCGATCAGCACTTTTATTTCACGCACCAGGCTCCGATGGCTGGGTCACGTGTTGCGCATGATAGCACACAGACTCCCGTGACTGCAGTGTTTGCGCACCGGGTGCATGGACGGAAAAAGTGGAAGTGAGACCAAGTGATGACATGGCCAAGAGGAATGAAAATCATTAGTTTCAAGCTGTCCGCGGTTGGAACGTTA